CTCTCTCTTGGGATCAAAGGTACAAATGCTTATAATCTTTTGTCTTAAAAGAGATTTACAAATTTAAGGGTAAATTTAAGAAAAATTCTTATAGAAGTATACAAGTCAAATTAATTAGAAAAGAGACTGTATACATTAAAATACTCCGTTACATTCGTTAGAAATGTATCAGTTCTTACCAGCATTTAACCAGATAATAAAACTTAAATCAACACTTTTACTTTTTTTTAAGATAAATCTACTTTAACTCCTCTTTATATTATGCCTTTCAACCTGATTTTCTGTCTTCACCCTCAGCTTTGCTCAACTTGCATGAATTTGGATGTAAAAGGGTCTACTTTTACAACTACTGCTTTTCTTCAATTTAAGCCACGACCTAGTCAAAACTCAGTTTCTGTGTTTTCGCTCTGTGTCTATTCCAGTCTCTAGATTTTGTCAGCTGACATTACTGGTCTCTGATCTCAGAGACACCTTGAGGAAGGCCCCAAATCCATGTCTTATAACAAAAACGCAAGGATGGAAACAACATAAAGGCAACTTGCAGGTAGAATTTAACTACAAGGTCTTCTTTGATTCCATGTAATTACCCGCTTGCTCATTAGAGTGACTTTGTTTTCCTCCATTATTTGGGGCATAGGAAACTTCCTGGCTAGGTATAATCTATAATCCCACTATGCAACTAAACTCAGCTGTGGCTAGACAAAATGCATACTAAAGCAAACTAACAAATAAAAGGTCTGCACCTGCCAAACCCCAATTCTTTATTCTCATTTAAAGGATCTGAGTGCCTGTATTTGAGTACAGATAAAATTTTCCAAGTGTTCCTCAAAGAAACAGTTGGTACACTCATAGTGGTCAGTTCTAGGATGTTCAAAGCTGCCACCAAACTGCCACAACCCATTCTCAGTTAGAATTTGACAGTTACATTATGGGGGAAAACTTCTTTGGAAAGAAAAACATCCAAATGGCACCAGTCATATTATTATGGGGTAGGGATGGGTATATGGAGGGGTTTATGCATATTCCTCTAGTCTATTTTCCAAATTATCTAACGTTAATTTTTTTTTTTACAATAACAATAAATGGACTAACCTGAAACTTGAGGTCAAGTAACTCAATACAGCATTTAGAAAACATCAACTGCCATCTTCCCTTTGCTGTTGGTCAGACTGCTCCCTGTCCCCACATGAAGGCAGAGACTACGGGATATACAGACTGGATCAGGCCGGCTGCTTTCCATTGTGGCTCCATCACTACCAGTATTGGGACCTTAGGCAAATTAGCTAATGTTTCAGTGCCTCTGTTTCCCCACAGGTGAAATGAGTACAAAATGCTACCTACCTCTCAAGGGTTGCTATGAAGAATAAATGGGCCCACCTGTAAAGCTCTTGTGCTCGGCACATACTAAGGGCTCAATAAAGGTTAGCTGCAGGTGGCTCTACATAAGACTGCATAGAGTGATAATTGCTTATTATTAGATTTGCAAGACAGTTACCAACCAAGTGGCCAGTTGCCATCTGTTAAACATGCAGTGGTCTAAAAGTGTAATCAGTGAGTACCTGAGCACTTACTAACTGCAGCATTGTCTATAAAGACTCTAGTGAAGCAGGCAGTCTGGAACTCAAGTTCCAATCAAAACTCAAATTACAAAGCTATGAAGGGAAGGAGGTCCAATGGTAAGAGGAAGGGGTTGGGTAGACAAAGCACTTCTGGGGTAATGGAAAGCCATTAAGTCCCAAAAGCAAGCTTGAATTGTAGTGAACCTGATTAACACAGTTTTGTGCTTTCTCTAGCAAACCAGTGGCAGAGAAGCCTAATTCGTAGACCATACCTAAGGCTGGGAAAGAAAAACTGTCCAGGCAGGGGTTCAAGTAGGAAGGAGTCCAGGCCACAGGAAGTCAGTCTAAGGATGACAGGGAATTGGGTGGGACTGGCCGATGCAAGGATAAAACTCTAACACCTGTGGAGCTTCTTTAAATGCACACAGTCACACTTCAGAGACCCTCCAGGTTGGAGGTGGAGCCCAGATGGCTGTAGTTTTCAATTTGAGTGGTGATTCTGACAACACTCCAGACTAGCAGGAGCTCAACAGTGTCAGGAGGAATGAACAGAATGAGTGACTAAAAAGCTGATTGAGTCTGGGAGAAATGTAAAAGTTTGAAATCACGAGCATGGAACAGGTTTAAGTGAAAATAGTTTCAAAATCCATAAAGGTCATTGAAATTGGGGTGGGGGTGCCATAGAACCACAAGGCCAGTGACAAGGTTAAAACAGAAATCGAGTCATGTGATCTCATTTAAAAGGGTTAGAACAATGGTTCTCAAACTTGACTGAACATTGGAACCACCTGGGGAGTTTTTAAATCTCCTGATGCCCAGGTCAAACTTCGAGTCAATTAAAACAAATTCTGGAAATGAGTTCCAGGCCTCAGTATTGTTAAAGCTCCCCAGTGATTCCAATGAGTAACCAAGTTCAAGAAACACGGGGCTGGAAAGGTTCCAGGAGATCAGCAAGTTTGGGAATGAGGGAAAATATAAGGCAATGTAAGTTCATGGTTCTCAAACTCTGGTGTGTACCAGAATCACCTGAAAAACAAGTGTGGCTCACTGAAGAACAAAAGAAGCTGGCCCGCTACAGGTTTCCCAAACTCCCCAAGTGATTCTGATATACACCAAAGTTGGAGAATCACAGGTCTGAGGACTGGAAATAACTCCGAAGGGGAAACTGAGAACTATGAACAACCCCAAAGCAGTAATTGAGAGCGTTCCTGCCTCTCTTGGCCTGATGAATGCAAACTTAACCTGAGTCTGTACTGAACATTACCAGAATCAATAAGCCTGTCAAAGGTCCAGCAGTAAAGCTAAGGCACCACCGACTCCACACATGTGATACTTATGATCCTGCCATCCTTCGCCTCAGAAGGCATCCTTCTAAAACACTCAGGTCTGGCTCCTTGGTGAACATCATAAAGAAAGCATGTATTGCCACCTGCCTTTCAGAATTAAAGACTTGGATCTTTAGGAATCTAGAAAAGTTACAGACAGACATACAGAGACAGACAGACACACACACACACACACACACACATACACACACCAATAAGCTGAGTATATAACTCAGAAATTCTCATTATTGTGTAGAAAGAAGAAACCCCTCGACTATTAAAGTTACATTTGGAAGATCTGAACTGGGTGTTTCACATAAAAGTCAGTTAAGTACTTTGCCCCTAACTTAGAGTATGTAACTATATGTAACTCAGTCTCTGTAACTATATGTAACTTTTACTGGTCAATATCGCACTTATTTTCTTCCAAGATATCATGACCAAGCCCAACCACATGAAACACCATTAAAAAAAAAAACTTAAACAGAAATTAACAATTGCTTCACTAGTTACAACTCAGTGGTAAGTGTTCCATTTAGAATGTTACATTTTATCTGATAAGATTCAAGAGAATACATTCCCTTGCATAGGACTAACTCATCATCCCATCAGAAATCTCTACAGCAGCACCAGAATTTTCATTTTCAAGATACATGAGCTTTTGTCAAATAGTGACATCTCTCCTGTAATATGAATTTTCAATATGATATAAAAAATGATGGATATATTACACATTTCACAGAGCACAGAGAACAGAAACCTGTCAATGAATTTCAAAGTTCTGACAACCTATTTGAAATTTTACACTAAAAGATCTGTACACTTTATAAACCATGTAAATGTAAAACAGGTACCAATGTTTTTTACCGGTGGCAAGGAATATTTCTCCCTAGCAAAGTTTAACTTGCTTTAGTACTTTTTTTTTAATTAATATATTTTCATTATCATTATGTTGTAAAAATGCAACATGTTCTACAGCCTTCAAAGTGCAACTGATAAAAACTTGAAATCCGTGTAATACACTTCAAAACAAAACCAGATTTGTTCTCACCATTTGAACTTGTGCACCAATTTTCAAAGGTATTAATGTACAAGGCTTACTGCAAAGTGCAAGTCACTGTTTTTAAAGAAAGGAAAACTTACCAATGAACACCGTTTCTATTTTTAAAGGTCATTCCTAAGTGATTTAGATGTCTTTGTTTGAACCTGGCTTTTCCAGCAATCTACAGACCCCACTTTACAAAATGACTTAATAAAGGCTTTTCTACCGAGGTGCGTCATTAAGCCGAAAGCAGCACACATAAGTGAAACGAAAGATTTTCCAAGTAATGGAGGAGTTCAATTAGCCAGAAACACAGCACTGTTTTCACGTTGTCGCAAAACACGAACGCAGGCATTTCTGAAAACCTTGGGGGCACCACCGCTCAGGTAACACAGGTCCTCGCTAACCGAAGAGCTGGGAGTCGGCCGCCCAACTCCCGGCTGACGGCGCTGGGTCCAGCCCTCCCCGGTGTCGCTGCCTCTCCATCACCGCGCGCCGCCGCGCGGACGCCCCCTTCTCGGGAGGCTGAACACAGCGGCGCGGAGCGGAGCGCTCCGGGGGGCGGCGAGCCGCACAGCCCGTCCCGCGCCCGCCTCGCCCGAGGGGCCCGCCCGCGCGCCGGTTTCTCCCCCTCGCCGGGCGCCCGCGTCCGTCTTCCTTTCAGACCCGCAAACTTCGGGGCGAGAGGATGCTCACCAGCACGGGGTTTCTCAGGAGCCCAGATTTCGGGGGCACGGCTCGGCCACGAGGGGCCCCCCCCGCCTTTTCCAGGGCTCGCTGGGCACCCCCAGGGGGGCTTCCCCGGCTCAGACGCCCGCCGCCGGCGTCTAAACACAGCGGGGAGGCTGCGGGCCCCGAAAGTTTTGCCGTCAGCTGCCGGGCCCCCGCGCGCGGCCGGGCGGCTCCAGGTGACCGGCACCGGGTCCCCGCGAGCCCAGCGTCGACACCGCCCACCGTTGGCGCGTCTCGCCCGGGAGGCGCCGGCGGCCGCGGCCCCCAGCTCAGGTGAGGGCTCGCGGGGCCGGGCGTCCACACGGAGCCGACGGCGCGCCCCCGCCCGCGACCCCCGCCTACCTTGCGCCAGCGCCGGGAGCAAGTGCAGCTGCAGCGCCAGGAGCGCCCACCATCCGCGCCGCCGGCCCGCGCTCAACTTTGTCGCCGGCC